TTACACTGTGAAGATTTCCAGCATTGCAGACTGCAATGAGAATGAAATATGTTGTTACTGTACTGTCTCAAACACACTCTTGCTGCTGTTACAGCCTCTCCATGGAATATTCTGCTCATGTGGACACCCTCTTCAAGAACTTCATGGCAAGGTCTGGTCACTTGTTCAACAAAGGGGAGTTTAAAGAAATTTAATTAGTGTAATCAGGCTCAGACTTTGTGCCAAAGTGACTCAGGTAAGTGCAGAAAGGCCATTATGTCTGTTTTCAGCAGGAAAAGGCCAAGAGGGTGGGAGGTTTGGTAAAGAACATTTGTAAATCTTATTACTTCCACTCTAGAATTCATAAATTCCAGTAGCACAGAAGTTGTTAATTTAAGGGTGCTCCCAATAAAGGATTGGTAACTTCTAAGCATTAGATTAATTATCAGTCCTGTGTAGCTAAGAACTCTGATAGACAGAAACAGGACAATTTCTAGTCAGCAGAACTTTTGAGAACATTTTCAAGCTTGTTGCTGTAAATTAAATGAGCATTTTTCAAATGCAACCAAATGTTCTGAATTAAGGTCATAACATTTAAAAAGTTGTTACTAGAAAAGTGGAAAAAAGAAAGCTGCTTTCTGTGGCTTGGTTTCTTACAGAAGACAAAGCATTGATTACAAAGGGTTGTTGACATCGTGGCAGGACATGAAAGAACTGCACTGAGGATTGGAGCTACTTTCAATAACACAGCTGGAATGACTTTAATAGAACTCTTAAAAAAGCTTTTTGGGATATTTGGAATTTGCATGTTCTCTTGATTTAAGGTATATGAAAAAGTTCTGCAAATATATTCAGTACTACATAGTTTTATAGTCTATAGATAGCATAACAGAACTCTTTTTAATTTCCATGGGAATATTCTTATGCTTATTTTATTGTGAGTTTCAGATGAAAGTTTGTGTTTCTTGAGGTTTTCATATAAATACATGTGGTTTAAAATTTTTTAAATGAAAATACCGCTCATGTGAGCACTTAATTCTGGGAAAGAAAAACAAAGGTTGAGGTTAAAGATAGTGTAAAGATCTTTGACAGTGGTTTCTTGTAAATGGCTTTACCTTTTTTAGAAATATGAATGCTACAAGAAATTCATAATGGTTTTATTGGGATAGTACATATTGTTTAGAACTAAATAACATATGTTGGCTTAGTATAATACTACACCAGTTGTGACTGGCCATGACTGGGTTATTCTAGCCTTCTCATTCATTTTAGCCAATTAGTTTGGCTGCTTATCAGGAAGTGACTTCAGTAAGGAAGCACACTAATTCAATTATCAAGCACTCCCTTTCTTACCCTTCCAAGAAAAGGCATATGAACTCAATGTAAGAAAAACATTTATTTGCAGCTTCTTGTCTGTGATAACTCATTATGTTATATGCAGCATGATTCACCCCAGAACGCTTATCTCTCATGGAGGGTGGGAGGAGGAGAATGAAAAGTTCTTACACCACCTAAAATATATCATTGCCTTGTAGGCAGTGGTACCATTTCCAGGAGAAATAGCTCAGTTATCTGTTTGGAGGAAACTCCTCCAGCCCCTGGGCCTTGTGCCCTTTGTTCCTGATCACCTTGAGACATGCAATTAGAAAATCTCCAGTTTGGGAACCATCAGCAGGCAGCTCCTGCTCCTTGTGAAAAACTCAATTTGGATTGTAATGTGTCCTCTGAATATTATTGTTAATACATCTTAAAAACTGAAATAATAATGATTGGAGAGTCTTCAGAACATTTCACTGCTCAAAGTTCACATTCTCTTGCTCTCAGTGAGAAGGAAAAAATTAATATAAGACTAAATTCACAGCATTGCATGGCAAGCAACAGAAGGATCACACCTAAGAGAAAATCTAGCTTTGGAGAAAACTTCAGATGTCTATCAGTAATTTGTGGATGGTTTTTACTGTCTTTATTTCGCACATATAAATTCACAAAACCTAACTATCCATACTTGGGGTTGGAAAAGACCAGTGTCAAATTCAGTTACAAGGTCTTTTAAGACTAAACTATCCAACAAGAAATGACACCTAGATTATTTTCCCTTTAACCCAATAACTGATCCCTCAAAGCCTGCAATGTGGACTTTTCTGTCCAATTACAAAACATCACCCAAACCCATGAAGAAGAAGGTGAAGAAGAACAACCTGCCTCTGCCCTAAAACCTCCATCTTGCTTCATATTTATTTCTATATTCCAAGCCCCAAACTCTTATTTTTCTACCCTGTGATATTACACACTTCTAACCAACTACACACCTGTAATCCCAGTGCTATTAATCAATTTTGGAAGTCTTCTCCGCAGCCCCAGGTCAAATGCAGTGTTCTATTGTGGGTCTGTGCCTTTCAGCACAGAAAGCCCAAAATTCTCAGCATCCAGGGTTCCAACACGTAGCTAAAGGATAAAGTAATTGATGCAACTGAATATCTGGATCTGGGGAAAGAGGTGAGTGAGCAGGTTTCTGAGTGTGCAGGTTTCTGAGCGTGAAAGTTTCTGAGTGTGCAGATTTGCAGCTTTCTCAGCACGCAGCTTTCTCAGCATGCAGATTTGGAGGTTTCTCAGCATGCAGATTTGGAGGTTTCTCAGCATGCAGGTTTCTGAACATGCAGGTTTCTCAGCATGCAGGTTTCTCAGCATGCAGGTTTGCAGGTTTCTGAGCATGCAGGTTTGTGAGCAGGTCCCAGCCCGTGTCGCTGGCCCGGCTGCCGGCGCAGCCAGTCCCTTGGAAGGGAGCCCTGGCGGAGGTTTGTGCCCAGGGGAGCTGCATGAATCAGTAATCTGCCACTGCTGCTTGTGAGGGATGAGAGCTGGGCTGAGCTCCTGGTGAGCAGCCTGAGTGGTTTTGTTACTGGGACAACAGGGGTAAACTTCAGCTGTGTGCAGACCTTTCCAAGGAGAATACTGGCACGGTCCAGCTGTGAGCAGATCTGGACTCGTGCAGCTTGTGCATCACAGACACGAACAAGTCCTGGTGCTGGTGTGATCAGATGGAGAAAAATATTTGTAATCTAATTAGGTTGGGCTGGGGGAAGAAAGTCTAGCGTCATGGACAGGCCAATTGTTTGAAATTGTCTGAAAAGATAAAAAAAATTATTTTGCAAAAATTTTCTTGGCAAATTCTTCTCATTTTCAAGAGTAGACAGATGAGTGTTTTAGATATAAAGCATGACTCACAAATTGAATATAAATCTGGACTGTTTTAAGGATTTCAATGTACTGACTAAAAGGACAAAGTCCAAAGCATCTTTTTGCTTTGAGTGAAATCAGAAAATATGAAAAAAACCCTACAGCTTTCCTATTTTGCACCAAATATGAACACCATATTAATGACTTAAAAAAAAAAATCTAGGATTATTGTTCAAGGTAAGAAGATACAAAATAACATTAAAGATACTAAGTCAGTGTGCTGTTATCTTTTGAAGGGTATTTAAACTGAGAGAAGGCAAATTCAGATTAGATTTTAGGAAGAAATCCTGCACCGTGGGGGTGGTGAGGCACAGAACAGGTTGCCCAGAGAAGCTGTGGCTGCCCCATCCCCGTGGGCGGTGCAGGAGCCTCTGAGGCACAGCTCAGAGCTGTGTCCAACAGGCTGCTGGAAGGGAGGTCAGGACAGAGCTCCAGCAGAGCCCCTGGAGCTGAAGGAGGCAGCTGAGTTTGTGTCAGAGCAGCTCTGAGCTGCACACAGGACTGTGGTCTTTGCCAGGGACAGCTCCACTGCAAGGCATCTGCACCAGGATTTGGTGATGGGAGTAGATTTAATCCACTGTGCTTGAAATGATGCTCTGTGTTGACAAAAGGAAAATATTAAGGGTGAATAAACCCAAGGTATATTGGTATAAATGGCAAAAGACCAGAGAGAAAAGAATATGATAAATCTTAGTGTTTCAAATTTTTGCTTTTCATATTCTGTATTTTGGATGTATAAAATATTATGATTTTCTGTTCTGCATTTTATCATAGCCTTTTAAAAATAATGAACTTTTCCTTACAAAATAATTTCTTAATGAAAAATTTTAACCTGCTGTAAAAGCAAACAATTATTTCCTTCACAATTTCCTTAACATTTGTAAACTATAATACTGTAAAGAACGTTAAAAAAAGGTAGTGGATTGATTTTCTTAGAGGGGAGTTTAGTTACTGTATTTCATGTAGAAATGGAGTTTAGTCTGTAGCATTTGTTTTATTGCCAATGTCTGTGCTTTTGTGCATTTGTAAAATACACATTCACTCGCATACACAGATTTCAAGTGATACAGGTTGGAAGGCTTATAAGCTTGCTGTAGCACATTTTTTGTTTCATTCTTTCAAGCAACCCAGATAGCTTCACTTTCTTTGCCTAGAAAAAATAGATGTGTGACTCTTTGCTGATGGTGTGCCAAACCAGATATGGAGGCATGTGACAAATGGACAAGAACAGTAATTTTAACATAAAATTATTCAACAAGGACCTAATACTAGAAGATGCTGATTTACAGATTCAAAATATGCCCTGGACTGCTGGAGAGTTTTGTTTTATTTTCACATTTGCTACTGATGGGACAACAGTGCTTGGACATCTGCTGGAGTAGATATTCCAGAAAAAATACTTCATAGTTTAACATATTCTCTCCCAACATAAATAAAGCAATTTAAGTAAAAAACTCCACAAACCTATTTTTGTTGTGGAAAAATAGTGTTCACAATGTGAGTTTTGGAATAGATAGTCTGGAATAGCTATTGTGCTAAACTGCCAGTGTATGAAGGGAGCACTTGCTGATGGGTACTACAACAGATTTAAAAACAAAGCCAAAACATTAAAAATTATATTAGCTGTTGAAAAGGACATCTTGGCTCTTAGAACAGAGCCAAGATAGACTCAGAGGAGGCAAGAAAGCTAAATAAATTAAATATTTAAGCAATAAAAGATCAGAATATGTTCAAATTCACAGGAGAGGTGAAGGTCTCAAGTAGCTTGTCTCTTGCAGATGTTCCTATATGGCTTACAGGAAAGAAGAGAATAATCCAGAGTCAGCTAAAAAAGGACCCCTGAATAAGTTTCCTTCCAGGATGGCTGGCTGGTCAGAGACCTGCACTGAAGTGAAGGTAAAAATGCCTCTTGGCATGAGTGTTTGTGTCAGAGTTCCGCTCCTGCCCATGGTGCTCGGAGCTCTGGCAGGGCAGATGCTGCTCAGCAGGGCTGGGTGGGTCAGGGGCTCACACTCATCTGCAGCTGAATTAACTCTGAGCCTCAAAGCAGAGCCCAATGATTTTACTGCCACATCGTTGGAGAGGCTAAAATATTGTCATTTCCTATCACATGACCATGCTGAGCATTTACAGATAAAAGGACGGGAGCTTGCAGAAATATAGTGACAAGTTCAAAGCAAAATTCTTTTTTGCTGAATTTTCTGTCATCACTAAAATGAGAACATGTTGTTCTCACCATGCATTTGCTAGTGAGAGGTTCTCCTGTTCTCAATTTTTAAACAGTTATTTACACTTCACATGAGGAAAAGTCTGTTGGGCTTTTCTCCACATTCAAAAGAAGATACTAGATGATATTTCATCTATCTTTACTATGTCCTTTGAGCTCCCTTGTTTGAAAAATGGAGTATGAAAATGGTGATGCAGAAATACCTGCCAGCATCTTCCTTTAAATTTAAACATCTCTTTTATGCAAGGAAGTGTAATTTTGGACCTGTAATTATCACACCAGTGCATTATCTGCACTGGTTAAAATCAATGGGTCTAGAAAAGGAGATTCACTGCAGTACCCTGATGATGAGGGCAATGAGGCAGCAGTAATTAAACCCCTCTGATCTCTGCAACAAGGGAACCCATTTTTGCCAGGTACCCCTCTGTTCTTTCCTGTTGTGCCCTGCAGTCAGATGCACATGCAGTGATTTCAGTACATCACATCCTTCAGCTCACTGTGGGCCAGAGAACATAACACAAAAGGCCAGGAAAAGGTGATAATTTCAGTGTCAGCTTTCTGAAGGCACCATTAACTTGATTTTTTCATTGCGTATTTTAATGTCCTTCAGAGCATATTTTCTCCCTTTGTTGTAACTCACATTCGCCTGTAAATGTCAATTATTTGAGACTTGAAGAAAACCTTGATTCTCTGAGTGTTGCTTGCTAAACACACAGCTTGTCCATCAGAGTGCACAGCTGCCTTGCCCTTGATTAGAGGACACACCCCTATGAAGACTTTTAAAACCTGACCTTTTTTTCTGCCTGTAGGTGATAATGCACTTTCAGAGGCTGCTTCAAATCAGTGCTGTAAAATAAATGTATAGCACTTCACCATAGGTAGCACAGAGCTCATAGAGGAGAGTTAGAATGAACACAGAGCCAGCTGGTCAAATGCAAAATGAGTTGGAATCTGTGGTCTCACAGGGGTTTTTAAGAAGCTGGTGAATGGAACATGCCAAAAAGGTGTTCCATGGGCAGACTGCATGGATGCTGCTGGTTTGTGAATATGATAACAGTGCTAGCTCTAGGAGCAAGTGGAAGAAAGCAGGGAAAACTTGCTTCTTAAATTTTGTTTAATAAATTCCACCTGTATTTAACTCAATTCCACCTGTATTTAACTAGTCCTCTACAATTTAGTTAGTTCCCGTTCAGAAGGAACCACTACTGGGCTAATCATCCCATAGATTGTTGCTTTCAGATGCAACCAAGGGAGACATTATTAAGAAAGAATTTTCAACCTTTAAAAAGGTCATGCTTGGTTCAAGACTGTTAGCATGGTCTGGATGCCTTAGCCAAGCTGCTTCACTTAAGTCTATGGGAACTGTCCTGTCTAGCCTAGACAAAGGAGATAGTATTTAATTCCACAGTAAATACCTCTGACAGCAAAAAAGAATGATTTCTTTGTCTTGGCACACATTGTTGGGAACTGGGCTGGATGGCTAAGGAATTCATGGTGTAGAATCACTGTAGATAAGGCCAGATGATATCATGTTGTGCATAAAAGAAGGAAAATTAAAGAAAGAAAAGGCAAAAGAGATGTGTAGAGTTGCTGCCCTTTCCTTTCTGCTAAGTGGGCTCTGCCCACTGATGCTAATGGAAGAAGCCCCAGGCCCCCTCTTAATTTTTCCTCTCACCAGCATTTCTGTGTCTGGAAAGCCAGTGAGGAATGTCTGCAAATATATGGATGTGCAATTTTTCTTTATTCTAGAGTACAATTCTTTTGCAAGGAGAGAAGAGAGACTATTTTTGGAATTCTTAAATCAAAGACAGTCCCTATTTGTACAAGCATCTTTTTTATTCACTTTCTCTTCAGTTTGTGGGTTTTTTTTGTTTGTTTTGTTTTCTTTTCTTTTCTTTTTATAACTCTGCTCTATAAGCTTTGCGTGCTAATGTTGTCTCTGGTCACAGTCACAGAATGTTCTGAGCTGGAATGGACCCACAAAGTCCGACTCCAAAGGGAATGGTCTGTCCAGGGATTAACCCATGACCTTGGTGTTATTTGCTCGCAGTGTGCTCTGTATGTTCAGTAATTCTATGCTTTTATTTTATGCCTTTGCTGGATTGGGAATAGGATAAATTAGATTTTTCTGGCTTTTAGTTTGCAGCCACCACTGTATGTAGGAACTGATGGGGATTCCTGCTCCCATCAGTTGTTTCAACAGCACCAAAAGGCATAAACAAGGAGTGATTGAGGAGAATGTCAGAGATTCCACAGCTCACAGGGAGAGTCCAGCCAGAAACCAGTTCTGTGCATTCTTCCTTGCAGGAAGGAGCAATGCCCCTTATTCCCCAGTGCCAGAACAACTTTGCCTAGGAAATGAGTGAGGTAAAGGCTCTCTGAGGCTGCACTTCCTTCATCCCTGTGCCATGAAACTGAGGGAGTGCTGATTGCCCTCCTGTGCTGCTCCTGGCACAGCTTGGAAAGGGAAAGGATGCTAAGCTGGAGCTGTATTACTCCACTTTCCATCTTTGGAGAGGGCTGGTGGGAAGGAAAGCATCTTGCAGAGCATAGATAACTGCTGGGGCCTGCCCTTTGGTGAACACTAAGAAAGGGGAGGAAGATTTTTATTGGAAATAATAAAAATCATGCCACTGCTGGAGAAATACTGAGGTGATGGGACAGACAGTAAGGTGTAAAACTCAAATTATTTTACTGACATTTAAATAGAAAGTATATTTTACCACTTTAAATGCTTGTACTTCTAAAAAAAACTCACTTTACGTGGCTTAAAAGATAAGAATCTTTTTCTATTATATAATGAAAACATAATTATATAATGAAAACATAATTATAAGTAGTGCTGTTGTTGTCTGCAACAAAAATACATTTAGAGAGTTTTTCTACTAGCATGTTTCTATTTTTGCTTTCAATATTTTCATTATTTCTGTGAAAGCTTCCTGATTGAATCACCTTCTCTAAGAATTTTTTAGACTTGAATTACAGATCATTCTAATAAGCTTTTTAGTTACAGCTAGAGAAGACTATTTAGAACACTCCTGACTGTTAGAAACGAGTCCATGTAGGGTACAACTGTGAAGTAATTAGCTTTACATGAAAAATAGCTGCTGTCATTTTCCACTGACAAAAGGAAAGAGAAACAATTTCTACACCTCATAGCAAAGGCAGACTTGGACTGGAAAAGACTGGTTTGGCTCAGAGTCCATAGCTTGAAATTTAACTAGTTTTGTCACAGGTATTTGCTATGAAGATTTTGAAGGCATTGTTACTCTAACTTTCTAAATTCGTGTGGCAAATGCATTGCATCATCTGGATAAAGAGTATCCCAGTTATGTTAAATGGAGATGCTTTTTGTAAGAGGATTGGGAATATGAAAAACAAGGCACTGTCATTGCAGTGTGCTATAACCCATGGAATAGTATAATAAACTAGTAAAATAGTATAATAAACTAATAAACTAGTAAAAATAAATACTAAAAATAAAAAATACAAAAATAGTATAAATAAAAAAATCATAAACTTGAGGAATCTTCAAGTCATCTCAGACCAAGAACTCTTGCTGTGAATTTTCTTGTTACAGATCCTGAAGCATCTCTGGTGGCTGAATGCCTACAGGCTCTGGAAGCAAACTCTGGAGTAAGGAAACCCTTACTGCAATCATCTGCCCAAACTATGCCAGAAGGAGCCAGTGCTTGAGGACAACTGCTGGAGTCCAGCTGGCATCACAGGATGGGAGCTCCTTGTGAGGAACAGGACCAGGTTGGGAATGGGCCCTGCTCCGTGGCTGCAGATCCCTCCAGGAATTCCTGCCAAATGCACTTTGGAGAGCTCTGCTAAATTTGCACGTATTTGGCTCCCATTCAAGGTTAGCTAAGGAAAATGTGATTAGGTATTTGTGTTCCTAGCTCTTCTCTGATGTCTCAGGTCTACATCCAGGGCAGTGTAAGGGACAAAGTCATTATAATTTTTCTATTTCTATAAAGATAGAAAGATATCTTGAAAGATAGCAATGCTCTGCTTTGAAAATTTTTATACCACATGAAAAAAAAATTACAGGCACAGAACACTTTATTCTACTTTTTGTCCCCTTTGCTCTACTTCCCTCATATCCAGCAATGTTTTTGCATCATCACCTTTATTGTGTTAACTCTCTGATAGCTATTTCTGTTTAGTGCAATCTACTTTTTATAGCATCTTAATGTGGTTCCCTACTAATTCAGTATTATATTTTCTTAGATATTTATATGCAAAGCTACTGGAGATACAGTGGCCTGTCACAATATGGAACAGCTGTCTATGGCCTTCACTCTGTCAGACACCACCCCTTTACAGTGATCCCTGTCCAATGCATGGAGAACCTTTGGGAGGAGTTTCTCTGCTACAGGAAAACGTTTGTCACCTTTCATTGGCAAATATCAAGGTAAGGAACTAAGGAAATACATGAATACTTGTGTTCAAGCCTGTTTTCTCCTTTGATAATCTGTGCATGGCTTATGATTATGCATTTGCTGTACAGCTTTGGGATTCCTTGCTGGACTCTGCCCCAGGCACTGGCCATGGGCCCACTGGCTTCAAACCAATTCTCTGCATAGAAGGGTTTGCTCCTGGCTCCTCCACAGGGAAGAACTCAGTTTAGATTGCCTTAAAACTTGGATTCACAGACACTACTAGTACCTCTGGGCACTTTTTCCTTTGTGGCCATTTTTCATTTTGATACCGATTGTGAAATCTGAATTTCCAGGAAAGCTGTTCATCTTAAGTCAGGAATTAACAATAGTGTGTAAGCACTTTTCAGAAAACAGGCTTTGATTTTTTTTGTGTTTGTGTTTTGTTATATTAACATAAAACAATGTATTAAGCTTCAAAGGAATTAGCAATAATCACATGATCTTTTCTCTTTGTAAGAGTTTTTATTTAGAGTGGTGAATCTTGAGGAGAAGAAAACTTTGAAGTAGTGGCTGAAAATATATTTAAAATTAAGGGGGCAGTTATAAAAACTCAGCTTATTTTAAAAAGAATCTTGTATGTATGCCATTTGCCTCAACTGAAGCTTGAACTCCATGTGGATGAATTTGAATTATCCATTTAGGAAGTATGGTTTAAAAGATATTAAAGAGCTGCAGCTGTAGGGTGATTGATAGATAATTGTAATCATAAACAGAGGTCTATCACTGCTGCACGTGCAGTCAAACTCACTTTGGAATGGATTTCATCTAGTTCAAAATGAATTCTGTATTTTCTTGGCACATAGCTGTTCAGAGTCAGATCATTTTCAAAAGCTAAAACTTTGGTTTAGAACCTTGACTTCAATGCAAGAAGTGCAAGATACACCACTGGAATAGTTTCAAAGGCAGTAATCTTTGTATGTTGCCAAGAGTGGAACAGGATTTCATGCCAGTATTGATGGGATATTGGTAAGTTTGTTTCAATGTCTTTTGCTGTAAGAACACGTCCTCTTTCAAAATTATATAGAAAGTGTAAGGATCACAGTTTAGTCTGAGAAAGTTAGAATGCTGGGTTTCATTTTGTTGTTTAATTGCTTTTTGGGCACCTATACTGCATTGGAAAATGCTACTGTAGCTATAATTTGTGCTCCTTTACTGCTGGCCATGAGTTACAATAAAATGTTTTAAGGAACAGCTTTTGGATTTGGGGGAATGGTTTTACTTCTTCTCTACAGTTACTTGTATAACAGTATAGAGACATTTTTAAATGGACCAGTTTTAACTCTGTACAGACAGAGAATCAGTAAGTGGGAGTATTGGTAGAGAACTGAAGAAACAGACAATTTCCACTGCCTGACATTTGGTCCTAGGAACTGAAGATCAAAAAACCTACCTGCAGTTACAGGCTACTGCTTAGAAGCCATGAAGAGAGGCTCCTGCATTTTCTGCAGATGTGCATTTTCTGGATGGATATTAGCACACTTTAACTAGGGGTAACAGGCAGACTGTAGTATTAACACCCAGAATTTAAGATCCCCTGGGGGGGGGGGGGGTATATATTTCTTGGGTTTTTACTTGAGCTCAGGTTTGCTTATCTACCTCCACCTAGACTGATGGATTGAAGAAGATGGATACACTCAATTTAGTCTCTGCTGTTCCTGATGAAACAGACATTTTGGCTTAATGTAAGTAAGTATTAATAACTTTTTATTAAAAGGTGGATTCAGAAGACAAGAAATAGGAATATCAAATTTTCAGGTAAACAATTTTATGTCCAGTGATCTAATATTATCTGTACAAACTTCCTCCAGAAATTCAACACTCTAGTATTAAATATAAGTATTGAAAAACACTTAAAACCAGAATACTATATGTAATTACTTTCTCCCTGGGTTAATATTTAACTATCACAGAATTAAGACACCTGTGAAAGCCAATTTTGATCAGCTTTGTTATATTACAGCACAAGAGAGATGAATAAATGGAGTAATATTTTATTGATCAGAAACAATACTTTTCTCAGCAATTAAAATGCCTGATTCATATGAACAAGGTGAAAATGAAACAACAAAAAAAATAACTTCACATTTTTTCCATTTTCTTTTTAGTGTAAGCAATAAATACAATGCCATAGCTTCTATTAATCTTATTTACATAGTATAATAAATGAATGTTGCCTGGTTTCCAGCCCAAAAGTTTCTTGACATCAAAAGGAGTACATGTTGCAGAATTTCTACAGCCAGATACTCTTGTAGATCACCACCATGAAAAACTGAATAACATAAATGCCAACATTAAACAACCAACTGAGAGACACTGCAATGCAGCCATTTATTAAATGAAGGCAGTAGCATTAAAAAAAGACATTTTCTTTCATTGAATCATAACATGCTGGTGTTACAGATAACAAATATAAGACAACTATTGCTGTAGCCCCCTGTAGATTGATATAATAAAGCCTCACTAAATTAAAAAAAAAAAAAAGAAACAGCAAATAATAAAAAGTAATAAACAAATAATAATCTGCATGTTCAAAGGAATCTCACAGCCCCACCAAAAGAGAGTTTACTTCCAACCCAGAGAATACAGCTATGGACTACAACAGTCTCTAAAGCAGAACAGAGCCACAAGAAATCAGCATAAGAATTTGAGTTTACCTTACAGTGGCAGAAAAACATTTTAAGAAGCAGAATCTTCTCTTAGCTGTGTAGAAACTGAAAGAAGGTGAGGTAGGAAGACAAAATAAGGAATTGGTATTTTCCAATGCAAATTAGAAAGCAGATTATCTAACCTCAGCAGGAGAGGGGAAATATAGCTCTGCTATACATGTGACCCTCCACAGTCAGAAATATTTTCTTGCACGTCCAGCTGGCTGTGTTTCTTTTCCAAAGTGAAGATGGGCAGGTGTGTGCCTAGAAAGAAGCTGTAATTTTCCACCTAGAAGTCAGGTAATTTCCATATAAAACCAATTTTCCCTCCTAAATTGCAATTACATGTTTCTCTAATAGAAATATATATTAAATGACAAAATCTGTAGCCTGTTAAATTTGAACTGCCTCTCTGAGAATGAAGCTTAATTAAAGTCTAATACTGTATCACACTCTAAACCAACATCTATGTGTTAATTACAACACAATCCACCAGGTACCATGAAATAATTGTCTAATAATACATCATAAATGGTTTACAGCACATTTAAATGGACAGACACCTGTCTGGGCTTTGAGTCTCAGTGGTACCTGCAGATTGTGCAAAGGGAACTCAAGACAGATTTATACCAGCTGATGATCTGGTCCCGCAAATGTAAAGCTGTTATACTGGAGCAGGGATTTTCTGCACCACTGATATATTCAGAACATTGCACAGATTTTAAGTAACACCACAAAGAGCAGCAAGCAGAGTTGTGAACAATCTCTAGTCGTGTTGTAGCAGACATTGTTACTGTCACTCTTAAAATGTCACAGACTCTGACACTCTGATTGCCAGATCTCACACTATTCTACACAATCCAACTGATACTTCAAATCACCCCCATCAGCTGACCAGACAGCCCTGCAGAAAAGGAGAAATCTTCATTTGTGCATCCTGTCTGATATTCCATATTGTGAAACTGTATCATTAATTAAGCACTTCCTATGTTCAATCTCCAGACATAAGAACTGTAAAAAAAACCACTAAAAAAAGGTGCAAGTGGCAGGACCTTGCTAAATCCTCCCAAAGTTTTCTTTTTAAGTACAAAGCATGAAACACCTTATGAAGTCACAAAGTAATAAACACCAAAAATTACCTAGACACTATTGAAGCATAGAGAAAAGCTGCTGACAAAAATGTTTAAATGTCAAAGTCAAGATGGTTTGTATACAACAATTTTGTATGCAAAATTATTTCAAACTGGTCTCAGAAAGAATTGTCTTCCAAGTTTTTGACTGGACTACATGCATCAGTAATATGTTCATTAGCAAAACAGTCAGTCACAGATACAGCATCTACTTTTTCATCTGCCCAATTTTGTTTTTTCCCCATTTCAAGTACACTTATCTGCAAATGAAATGTGTAACATTTTTTCTTACATTTTTAATTTTCAGTGAACTCACCTTGTTTCATGCCCTCATTCTTGAGCATTTTTGTCGTTTCGCTTAAGAAAACTACTATTTCTTTAAAGCATAAAGATTTAAGAAAAATACAAATTTCTGCAAAACATAATTTCTCCTAATTTACAGTGAGACTTTATGCACCAGCAGAACCAAAGAAACAACATATAAAGTACTGTTCGTAGCTAATTAACTGAGACAGAGATTCAGAATCAACCAATCCAAAATATTATTGAACTTCTCAATCCATAAAGTTTTGAACCTTTATAATACAAAACTTATACTGGACTTTGCAAATAATGTGAAATACTAATATTTGCTTGATTAGTCTGAGTCTCATATACTGGCTTTAAAGGTAGTATATCATGTGCACTGTGTTCAGTCTTGCATACTCACCTCAGACAACAAAAACAGCCACAAAACTTTGCCCCAAGAATTAAGGAATAAGTTATCAAGCCTATGGCCAGGGAAATACGTAGAAGTAAAATCAGAACAATGCTACCACGAATTCTGTACATGTTCTTCTCCAGTTGAGTAAATTCTTTAAGCACACAATGAACTTCCACCAGCTGCAGTTACTAGAGTGTCTGGGAGGACTTACAGTGACTCAGGTGATTCCTTTGCTCTCTGGCAGTGAGGCCTCATCAGTCTTGTCTGTTAAATGCAGAAGAAAACTTCCATACAATTCAGAAGAAGGAGACACTTCTGAATATCCTGAAATAGCTTAAATAAAATTGCTCAAATCTTGGTGCAAGATAGTACATTGCAGTACAGAAGTACATGAAGGCTCACACTGGAAGTGGTGTCTCTGTGCTTGGTGTAAAACAGTGGGAAGAAAACAAACTGGCCAAACCAAAGCAAAACATCAATCTCTTTAACCAAAACAGCAGTATCTGTCTTTGAATCTGTTACCTCAGACTACCTGTCAGGCTTTTTTGACAGCCAAACGAATGGTGGACCAAAAAAAGAACCTGGAAAAATTCTTGTTATTGCACCTATTTAAACCATTTTGCTTTGTTCTATTTTAGGTTGAATTAAGACAACAGAGTATGGTATTTACACTCTAAGATTCTATAGGCAAATGAAGTGGCTTCAACACAGCACAGTCTTATACAAACTTCCAAGAAAATAAGAAATCCTTCATTGATTCCCTTTGTACAAAAATTTGCCAACTTTGTCTACACAGTAGAAACTGAAGAGGCAAAGTTTGTATCTTATATAAATGTACATACATATATAGATATATATGCACAGATGTCCATACTGTATAGATACACAAACACACGTGTATATATATATATATATGCACGTGTCTTTATACACGCACACATACGCACGAGAAACGCGTTGGTTTCGCTTGCATCATCCAGGAGAAAAACACATCCCAAGGCAGGTGAGATCTTCTGGCCATGAAGTCACCGTGGACTGGCAGGGGGCAGCCCCTCAGCCATAGAGCTTCTCAGTCTTGAGTGCCACGCTGTCCATGTCGTGGTAGCCCTTGCCGTTGAGGTGCTCGCCGGCGCAGTCGTGGCCGTAGCCGTAGCCCTGCACGTCGCTGATGGTGGACACGGTGTAGGAGGCCGTGCGCATGGCGTCCGAGTGGCTGAAGCTGTGCTCAAACTGGATCTTGTACTGGTTCCAGTGCCTCCTCAGGACAGCCTGCACCTGTGCCCCCAGACAAAGCAAAATGCATGTAAACCACAGCTCGGGGCCTCCGTTCTTTGTGGTTTGTCTCTTCGCTCTTTGTCTCAGCAAATGGGCCAGTAAGGCTCAGAAATCCTGGACAAGAGTACCCACCTACCCACCATCTAGCACTTGAATTATTCACCACTTAGGTAAGTGTTACAGTGCGCTCGAGCTATGCTTTCCCCATTTCCAGGGACCCCTATGACTGGGATCAGACAAGCCTGGTCCCTTCCTTCCTGCTCTGATGGGGTTGGCGGAGAGCCAGAAAGCCCTCCCCATCCAGAGCCTAGATAAGGCCATGACCCTTCCTGCTGGCCCTCTTTTCCCCCTCTTGTTTAATCTCATGGATTGAACAAGCTTGGAGAACCACTTTGGGGAACTGGAGCCTCTTTTGTATCTTTGCCCATCTCCT